ACTGGGAGAGAATTTCCAAAGCCTGCCACCAAAAGTCTCTTGCCTGTGGTTCTCACATCTCTGTGGGTCAATTACTTATCACTTAACCCTAAATTACCCCTCGTTTTTGTTTTCTATCCCATAATTTTCTAATTCTTTTGGGTACTGCCCATCCACCCCCATCAGACTTAAATCTTACAATGAACCGTACCGTATATGAGGCCAAATTCTGTGCCAGCTTTTACTCCTCACGCAACATCACTGAAGGCCGGCCATATATCTGTGTGGGATATAGACCTCCTTGGGCTTTATTTGTCATTTATAAGGAAATAAGAGGATCTGTTTTTCCTGATATGGGCTAAAGAGGACTCTTCCTAAACAATGCTGAAAGGGTTCCCATTACAAAAAATTCCTAGTGAATGGAGATTTAAATTTAGATCTGGCCTTCTGACGCTGCTTCACTGCCATTGCTTAAGGCACCAATTGTTTACAGTACGGTTTTGTTAACAATTACAGATCCATGATGCATGCTTAAAAGATGAATGCTATTAATGTCCAACAATTTTGCTACTTCTTTCCCTTTTCCCAATTCCCTTATATGATATTCAATGCCTTCCTCTTTGGTGGGAGTGTGGGGACAAACAATCTGTTTTAAAGTATGCAAACTTCCTTTCCCTGGTGAATCGAGCCTGGTTACCTTGCCATGGAAATTTGGGATGGTTTCCGGAAATTAGCAGGAAAAATATTGAAATAACTTTTTTTTTACTCTAGGATCTTATTCTGGCAAGTGTACCTATGTATAGTGTGTGTGCACACACGTACGCATGAATCCACCCAATGATTGTTTAATATTAAGAAAGGACAGAAATAACACATGCACATCTCTCTCTTTGGACCAAACCCTTGTGTCTTCCACAGCCATGAATGCAGGGAGCCCAGATGGAGGTTTCTGTAGAAAGATGAGATTCAAGAAGGGCCGCGCTTTTTTCTTATCCAGCTACACCCACCCAAAGCAGGGAGCTCAGCCTTCATGAAAATATAAATTTTAGTAGGGACTAAGCGGCAGATTTTTAAAGTCACTAGAGGAATCTCAGTCCCCCATCTCCCACTAAAACTTTTGTGCCTTTGAAAAATTTCCCCTTGACTGATAGAATGCTGATGAAATATAAGATGAGTATATCAAATTTTACAGCAATCAATTTTCTATCTGTTTCCAAGGCTACTCCCAACCTCATAATATTTATTATTTTGTATTAATTTTGTTACAATTAAACACAGATGGAGTTGGAAGAGTGGCGATGAGGCATCTTGTTTTCCAACAAAATTGGGCTGTTTCAAGGCATTTCCCAGGGTTCTTGTCCCTTTCACGAAGAAAAAAAAAAGAGGAGGTTGCCTAGTCCTAATTCTTTACTAGCTCAGTTTTTAAACATTAAACTGCTAGTTGAATTGCTCTGCTTGCAATTACACGATGAGGTTTTGAATACAATATAGTTAGTCAGATAAAGTATAAAACAACTTTCATTAATTTCTGTTATGTTATTTGCTGAGTGTCGAGAGCTCTGCACAGAATGTACAGCAGTGGTCCCCAACCTATAGAGGCTCCCGGGCGCCCGGGGGCGGGGCCACTCATGCGCCGGGCGCCTGGGGGGTGGGGCCACTCATGCGCCGGGCGTCCGGGGGCACGCCAGAGGACGGGGATGCCCTTGCACCCGGTGCCGACATGTGCCCTGGGGCTGCCTCTGGGGCTGCCCGAGTGCCTTGTGCCGTGGGCACGGGGCCAGCGCTGCCGCCCGGAGCGCTGCGCACCAGGCGCCGGCGCCTCCCGTGCACCACGCGCAGGGGGCGGGGCCGGCCCAGGTTGTCGGTGGGTGCACACAAATGCCCCGGCGGGCGCCATGGCATCTGCGGGCACCGCGTTGGGGACCACTGATGTAGAGTATGAAGTAGTCCCTGTACTGAGGTACTTCATGTATCATTGCACCTGGACCTACAGTTCCTTTCAGGAAGGACTAAGCAGAGTTTCTTTCCTTTCAGTTGTGCACTACACTTTTAACTCTTTTCTTACTGTGCTCGCTGCCAGGCAGTTTCTCATAAGAAAGGCAATATTGTGGGGTTGTTGAAGGAGGGACTTATGAATCAGTGCTCCTGCCTTAAACACCAGGTTCCATAACCACTTGTTCTGTGACCCAGGACAACTCAAAAAACCTCCAAATCTCACTTTAATGATCTGTCGAGGAGCAAGCAATAGTACATGGTCCTTTTAAGTTCACTTTCAAGTGACTAACAAAACCATTTGTGGAAGCGAATTTCAAAGATACATACTTGAGGAGTCATGAAAACCAAATATGAAACGTGTGTGTGGAAGTACTTCAAGTATGTATGCTTGAAATGCATGGGTGCTCATTTAGTCAGGGAGCAAACCATGCAACTTATCAGACAATCACTCGCAAGCAACACCGCTCTGATTTTGCATATTGATGATTAAGGCATGAGAAACTAATCTGTAAAGCAATTTCTAATAAATTTAGAGAAATTCTGACTTCATTTTGGATACTCCAGGAGCACAGCAAGGCTAAATCCACTGAGTACCTGAATTGTGGTGACCTACTCGATTAATTCTCATTTTGGGGATTAATTATTTAAGGCCAGTTTCTCTAAATGCTGCTTAACTTTAACCACATGAAAGGTCCAGCTCAAGTCATTGAGACTACTCATGTGCTTAGCAATTGCCTGATCTGGGTCTTGTTTGCAAAAATGCGCCGAGGGCTTCTGATGAAAAGTGTTCATTGACAAGTATCTTGATTAGCAATAATAATAATTAACATGTAATCCATACTGATAATGTTGGAGATACCTCGCTATACCAAGATCTGTACGCAAGGAAGGTAGCAGCTCATAGATTATAGTGGACAAAAAGTGCTGCCAAATCTTTAACACTGACAGTCTTTGCTTGAGAAGAGCTCAAAAATGCATTTCGGTTGGAGCATAAGAAGTGAAAGACAAAAGTTATGTTACGTCTGATGTTTCTGTTGCTGTTGCATGAAATACTTTGAGCCTCAGACGCTAGGGCTCCTCCTGATCTTGAATCTAATCATTCTGTCCCGCCAAAATGTTAATCCCTGGAGACTTGGAGCTGCCTACAGTAATAAATGAGGCATCATTTGGAAAATAATAAAATTTGGACAGAATTTTCTTTGGCTCAGTTCAACTCCTTATATTCCAAATATGTACAAACCACTCATGGAAGATTAATACATTAAAACAGGAAACTAAATTCCTGCATCTCTATTAACAGGCAACTTGGATTTATTTTGTTTCCTTCACTTCTGTATCCTAAAATCTATAATTATTATACATTCTGCAGTTTGAGCCATGGCAATTGTTTGCCTAAAAGTGCGTGAGTGTTTGGAGCCAAATCTTAAATGTGTGCATGACAGCATATCTAATTTGCACTTTTAATTGTCCTAACTGCTTTCTGCTAACATTTTCGGCAGAACTGGGAATTTATGTGCCCTATTGTCTTAATTGCCCATACAATAATTATGGCATGTAAAAATTAGTCCTGTATTTTTTGAATACTTTTGTGCACCTAAATGGCTTAAAAATCTATGCTATAGGATCCAAATATTAATTATTAACTGGATATGAAACTTAAGAAGACACAGACAGTACTTCTGTAATATATCTCCTAATCCCTCCTTTGCTTCTGTGGTGTATGAAAAGCAAACAACATCTTTTCCTGCAAATAGTGTGTTATATTATACAACCTATCCATCCTAGTACTGCAAACTTTCAGTTTTAATTATTTCAACTGTGACTAAAGTCTGTTGCATACAAAGGAAGTATTTCCATTGATTTCAATGGTTTTTTAATCAGTCCCTTATTTAGCTTTTATTGGTAAATTAATTCTAGGAGCTGAACAAAAAAGGACAGCATAATTTGTTTGCCTTTAATTTACCAATAATGAGATTTATGAATTATATTATGTGAACTAGTGTATAATTCAAATATACTTTATCACAGAGTCCGGGTTAAAAATTGCCTTTTAAATTCAATATGACATGACATTTACTTTCTGATTGTTTATGAAGCATTCAAGGCTAAGTAGTCACACCCAGAGAATGCTCAAGATCTATGCAATGAACCCACTCAGAATGAGAAATTTGCAGATTTTGCCCTTATTCCGAGGGATTTGCTGCATATGAAAAAAAGGTTTAATTGTAACATGGATCCTCTATATAACATTTAGTATTAGCATTAATGTTACACATACCCTATGGCAAAGAATTAACTACAGCCTCTTCCCGACTTACGAACCGGTTACGGACCAAGCAATTCATAACTGCGAATGGTCATAAGTTGACCATTCACAACTCGGGGACCAGCTGTAGTTAAGCCATGTGATATCACAGACTTCAAGTGTCCCTGTAGAGTATTAACCCTAGTAGGATAGCAAAGATAATTGGATCTTAGGAGGGAAATTTACACAAGATTAAAACATATAGATGGGTGAAATACTAGTAACACACACATTTTCTAGCTTATGAAATATACCACTGCCCTTCTGCTCTCTAGATGTCTCACTACAGGTTGAACCTCTCTAGTCTGGCATTCTCTGATCCAGCAACATCCATGGTCCAGCATGATTTTAGTAAGCTGGATGCCCACTTATTGTGGGTGTGGCCAAATTTCCTGCAGTTCCATAAAGTTTGCTTACAGCCACCAGTCCTGGCTCTCAGTGTTCTGTGCTGTTATTTAGCTCTAATGTAACCCGAAATGTTTTCTGAGAGCCCAGTAAGCAGTGGAAGTGTTGGCAATGCTGCTAGACAATATTGACCTCCCGTGGTTCGGCAAATTCTCTGGTTCAGCACCGGTCTGGTCCCGAGGGTGCTGGACTAGAGAAGTTCAACCTGAAGAATTTAAGACATAGTTGTAAACTAAATCTTAACAGCTCATTTGGAGGAAATTAGAGATGAATATAGGGGCTCCGAGGTGATTTTACTTTTGCTTTTAATTTGCAGAGGGACTTCTTCTGAAAGAGAAATGTGTTCTGAGAAACAAGGGGGTCTCTGTAATCTACAAATCTGAACGATCTCTCTAAAGACAGGTAAGCAGTGTTATTCCTATTTTATAAATGGAGAAACTGAAGTCAAAGAGAAGCTAAGTGATTTCCCAAGGTGAACTCCAGAGCTGAATCAATGATGGGAGCGGGAACAGTTTTCAGATATCACATGTCCGATCTGTGGGACTATGATGTTGATAGACTAGTTCTTATATAATGCTCTTCATCAGCCACTGACCTGAATTCTAAATTTTCCTTGTTATTCAAGTTATGTTTACACAACCTGGTTTGTATGTCCCTCAAGACTTTAATAAATTCAGGTTTCCCTGTACTTGGAATAAAAAACCCCAACAACTATAGAACAGAATAGATATTTCATTATTGGCTTCTGTCATGTTGACTAGCTTTCATTTGTACAGATCTTTTGCCGACAAAATTCAAGACAGCTTCCTGACCCTGGGAGCTCCTAATTCTAGATGGAACATTAGATCTGAGCTGAATTTTGAGTAGCACATTTGGATTGAGTCCAAACTCATTCCTTTCAGATGAAGACAGTCACTCGTTCAGAAAAAAATGGATGTCCTTTTCTTCTACTAGACATTCCTCTAAACTGATGATATTCATGATCCCTTTTTACTTTTTTATTGAGGGTACATCTAGACTGAAGGCTTCTTTAGGAAGAAGCTTTTCCGGAAGAGATCTTCTGAAAAAACGTTTTCCAAAAGAGAGCATTCACATTGCCAAAGCGCATAAAAAGTGATCTGCTTTTTCGAAAGATAGCGTCCACCCTGAATGAATGCCATAGAATCATAGAATACTAGGACTGGAAGGGACTTCAAGAGGTCATCAAGTCTAGTCCCCTACCCTCATGGCAGGACCCAGTACTGTCTAGACCATCGTTGGACTATCTTGCATTTAAGCTGTGATTAGTATGGAGGGAGTGGTCACCAGAGCACCTGTGCTTTTTCCTCTTTCCTCTTCTTTCGAAAGAACTCCCTCTTCCCCGTCTACACACACCTTTTTCTGAAAGAGCTCTTTTGGGCTGTGTCTAGACTGCAGGGTTTTTTCGAAAAAAGTAGCCTTTTTTCTAAAACACTTCACCTGTGTCTAGACTACAGCCGCGTTCTTTTGAAATTAAATCGAAAGAATGTGGCTTTTCTTTCGACAGCGGTACTCCTCATTTCACGAGGAATAACACCTTTTTTCAAAAGTGCTCTTTCGAAAAAAGGCGCTGTGTAATGCAAACTGTGCTTTTTCAAAAGAGAGCATCCAGACTGCCTGGGTGCTCTCTTTCAAAAAAGTGGCTTGCTTTTTCGAAAGTACTGGTTGCAGTCTAGATGCTCTTTTTCGAAAGTATCTTTCGAAAAAGCCTCTTTCGAAAGAGGCTTGCAGTCTAGACGTAGCCTTGGCAAAAGGCTTCTTCCTTGTAGAAAGAGGTTTACCAATGTTGGAAAAACCCCTCTGTTCTTTCATGTTTTTTTTCTGAAAGAACACGATTGCAATGTGGACGTAATTTAAATTTTTTCAGAAAAACAGCTGTTTTTCTGAAAAAAAAAACCGCTGTAGTGTAGACATAGCCTGAGGTCAGGGCATGGCCTATCCAGTGTGCCAGCACAGGGTATAGGTGGGTAAAGGTTCCAACTCTCAGCTAGGGATGTGAAGGGGTAACCGATAGACTTTTCAATGGAATCTTCTACAGTTAAACCTATACAAGCCCCTACTGCGGAGGAGAGTGTCTTATTTTGAGCAGCTCCAGCAAATGTTATGTGGTGGGTGGAATCCTACTTCTATTGATGTCAATGGAAGTTTTGCCATTGATATAGAATCCTAGGGCTGAATGAGACCTCAGGAGGTCATCAAGTCCAGGCCCCTACCCAAAGCAGGACCAATCTCAACAAATCAGTGGAGCCAATATTTCACTCTTTGTCTCCCTACCCTAATCTGGGTGGTTATACCCTGCACACCTTGCTTTTGTCAATGTTTCAAATGCCAAATGTATCTATCTGTTATTCAACACTTACTAATTGCATCCAGTGGCTGGAAGCTGTTCCTTTAAAGCTCAGGCTTTTAATAATAAACTAGTAATATTCATGTAGGTCTTAAGTTTTCAGCTCCCAACTGTGATTAAAATGTCTGAGTGATGAAGGAATCTTTGAAAATCTGGAGGCTCAGTTTGGATGCTGTTGAATCAACCAAGACCTTATCTAAACTTCTTTGGAAACTTACAAAAGCATATTTCTTATCCTTTCTCAGTCTGTAATTCTGAAAGAACAGGTTTTTTCCACCCCTCTTACTTTCCTGCTACTTTTGATACTCTCAGCTGAAACCAGCAGAGAAAAAAAAATGAAAAAAAAGAAGCAAAACAAGTTAACCAAAGTCTTCCAAACCTCAAAAAGCCTTTGGGATCAAGTTCTGGTAAAGATACAGGTTGATGTTTTTATTTGATCTGCGCAGGTTTTTCTCATCTGGAGAAGAGAGGGTTCAAATGAAAACACCAAGCTTTTTGAATATGAAATGTTTGGCAAACTCCAGACATCAGAACATCTGTTTAAATCTGATTTAAGTTGAGATTTCTCTTCCCCCCAAAGCATCTGGCATTGCTTTCTTGCTTATCTGTTTGATTCCAATTACAACACCATCTCGTCTGTGGTTTCACTCTTCGTTATGAAATCATGTTTTATTTTTAAAACCCAATAATGGTGGAACCAATCTAATTAAATGTTGAAACCAAAATACCACAGAGAGACTTCCCCCCCCCCCTTTTACCAATGAATGGGAGATTAGAAGTCAGATTATTATGAAATTTGATGCACTAGTGATTTAAAGAGGAGTATCAGTTTGTTGGGTGTATTAATTGGTTTCAGTTACTGTAGGCTAAAAAGCAGAGCTCTGTGTAATGCCTTTATCTTTTTATCTCCAGCTCTTAACCTAAAGAAAATCTTGCAGCTCATATAACTAGCAAGCACACAAACTATTGACTAACATAACTCACTTTGCAAGCTGTAGTAAAATCAGGACCTATTCCCATCCATTCCAACAGAGAGCAGTAGTGCACATACAGTACATGTGGCCCAGTACAAAGAGCAGCAAGAGTGCAAAGGCAACTTCCCTTACGCCAATTGATTAACAATGACCAATCATGGCCAATTTAAAAACAGAGATGCCAGGAGCATTAGTTGGCAAGGAACGGGTAGGATTCCTCAAACCTTTGGGCCATTTCTCTTCATGGTCAAATGACTTCAGTGAAGACTGAATTACATCAGTGCAAATGAAGGAATTTTCAATTTCTTCATCCTGTATGCTCAAAACCAAGCCGAAAGCCATGCAAAATATCTACAAGAACATTTACAAAAGTGTATGACTCAGGGCACGTCTACACTATGGGGAAGATTGGCGCTGCCACAGTCAATCTTCTGGGGCTTGATTTAGCAGGTCTATACCAGACTCGCTAAATTGAACGCAGAGGGCATCCCCGTCAGTGCCTCACAAGGAGTAAGGGAAGCTGATGGGAGAGTTTGCTCCTGTCAGCCTCCCGCTGGGTGGACGGCATGGAAACGTGATGTAAGATACGTTGACTCCAGCTACATACTTGACATAGCTGTAGTTATGTATCTTACTTCGACTTTCTGATGTAGTGTAGACCAGGCCTTAGTGGGTCCCTACTCCTGAAGTAATGTGGCACAGATTCCAATGAACAGAAACTGAGATCTTAGCTACAGTGTAAACCAAAGAGACTTTTATTCTGAGGGAGAAGTCCTGTAATTGTAACAGTGAGACAAAATTACTAATGAAACCAATAGGAGTTTTGCCTGAGAAAGGAATGCAGAATTGAGCCTTTTCTTTGGGTGAGCTTGCATGTATGAAAATATTTATACACCCACACACATATCCATGGTCATCCTTTAAAAATCTGTTGGTTACAAAACAATGTTACCTCAGTGTTGCATAGACATTCCCTACAGTTAAGTATAGGCAACATAGCAAAAACAGAGGGAACCATATTTATTTATCTAAGGCGAACCAGCAAGTCATTAAGGATGACCGCAGTGCGTGCATGTATGTTTGTGTGAGTGCATGTATACACACAACACGTAAAAACAGCTAACATTTTTGGTTACCTCTGAACCTCATAAAAAGTTATTACAAGTAAGCAACTGAAAAGAACAAGATGTTATTACAACCAAAGTAAAACAGTGTTCCAAACCCAATCTTGAAGAGAGTAGCGGTACATCGCTAATAGCTGGATCTAATTAATACATAGCTAGGAGGACACAATCACTAGGAAATGGGATAAATAGCCTTCAGATGGACATCTATAAATTAGAGCCAGCAGCTTTAGCAGTAATGTTCACCAACTTCCTTTGAAGACGGTCTGCATTTTCCAACCAAGTGAGTGGGCTGCAGACTTCTCTGAGTTTCACTTTTAAGACATCTTTTGTGGTTTTAAATCTTGTACCTTTTGATACCGGCTTTTTTTTTTCAAGCCTCAGAGAGAATAGCACATTATTAATTGTACTCTCATTTGCTCAATCTCTCTCATCTCTGTACATATATATAATATTATGGAAAGGAGGGCGATCTAATGTGTGGGTGTCACAGGTCACCCCGCCTTGGGGGGGAAGGGGTCCCCCTTTTCTCGGTGTACCCCGTTACGGCTCACCCCGGCCGCACTATTGCTCGCCCTGGTGGCGGGGTGGGGGATCCGGGCCCACCCTCTCTCCGGACCCCGACCCAGGGCCCTAACACCAGGAACTCAATGCTCCTGGTGGTAGCAGGTGGGGTCTTGCCCCTAAACTCGCCTGCTCTTGGGTTTCACGGCCCGCCCTGGATTGCTGCCAACCCCGCCCTGGGTCGCTGCCAACCCCGCCAGCGGGTCTAGCCCATGTCCCACCTCTACCTCCTTCCCGGGATCCCTCGCGCTTCGGCGGTGTCTCTCTCCCCCCGTGCTGTTCCCCCTCCCTGTGGCGCTTCCCCTCCCTTTGTACCTTCCGCGGCCTCTGCCGGCCCTGGCGCACTTCTGGGTGCCCCGCCCCCCCCGGCGTCAT